TGGGAATGGGGCCCAGATCTTTCTACCTTGTATGAAGCCAGAAATTCAGATTTGTATGTAAAGTCTTCCAGTGCGTAAAGGTGGTGCCTAAAACAAGCAGATGCAATGATGTAAGCCAAGCGCATCACATCTGCAAGCCCCTGGCCAGCCAGGATCCAGACTCACACAGCAACCTGGCTTTCCTGTGGGAAAAGCTCTCGTGGGTGCGCTATCCAAAGAGAAAGAGTGTGTAAACAGTATTTTCAGGGTGCATTTTTCGGTGTCTTCTCATAAAGTTCAAATCAGATCCATATTTATAGGTAAAAGGAAAACTATTGACCGTGTAAGCCAAGAGATCCTCACTAATTCAGGAGAAGGGGCTTGTCCAAGATCACAAAGCCATTTGGGCAGAGTTAGAACTCAGACTTGAGGTTCTGACTTCCAGCGCAGTGCTCCCTCTATCAGTGGGCCTCAAATAGATGGCTGACCTTTTTGTTGTATTTTTATACTTGACAAATGCCAGAGACTTATTCATGAGTTCATCTTCCCAGAATAACTGGTAGAACAGGGCCAGAGGGCAGCAGGAAGACCTGGCCTATCCCTGGGAAACCCAGGCTCCTGGAGAGTAGGGGATGTGTTTTGCCATTGGCGCAGGTCCACCTGCTTCTGACGCATGACGCTGGGCCCCGGCTTTGGGGGGTGTTCAGTGAGTCTGGGGAGAGAGCTTTGGAAGCCAGAACAGATCCCAGGGGTGTGTTAGGAACCTGGGAGCTCGAGCCTGTCCAGCTCCCAGACAGCTGTGTTTCTTCCTTCATCCTCCCTTATTTTCCTGGTTTAAAATAACATTTGCAGCCCTGGCCAGTTTGGCTCAGCGGTTAGATCATCGGCCCATGGACCGAAGCGTGGTGGGTTCTATTCCTGGTCAAGAGCATGTACCTGGGTTGTAAGTTTGATCCCCAATCCTGGTCAGGGTCATGCTGGAGGCAACCAGCCATTAGCTGTTCTCTCACAGCGATGTTTCTCTCTCTCTCTCCCTCCCTTCCACTCTCTAAAAATCAGTGGGAAACTGTCCTCTGGTGAGACTTAACAAAAAATAAAAATAACATTTGTCATAGGAATCTTGGAAAACTCAAGAAAACACAAAAGATAAAAGTAATCATAACAGAGCCACTGGGTTCTCTTGCAGCTTTAGCTCCGATCCCTTCAGTCTAATTGCTTTGCTCTACAAGGGAGGAGGCAGAACCTGCATTTTATTTATTTATTTTTTTCAGCAATGTGAGTGTGTGGGACATGCTGTCACTGACCTTTCTTCATTTACTGTGTCTCAAGTGTCCCCTTTCACTCTGTCTTCTTTCAGAGCGGCATCTGTTTGGGCAGCAGGGACTTCATCGTCCACACGTTAGCGTTCGCTCAGCCTTCCCCGCTGGTTGGATGTTCTGGTCGTCTCCAGTCCCCTGGCACACCCGCCAGTGCTTTGCACACCCACTTAGTTTACTGTGTGGATCTCTTCCACAGCACAGATTTCCACGTGTGGATCAGTCAGATGGTGTGAAAATCTGCATGGCCTTCTATACACATTTTGCAGGCTCTTGAGACATACTCTGGGAGAGCCAAGAATTTTATCTGCTGGAGACGATCTCAGGGGGCCTCTTTGCCCATGCCCTTGTCCCATGACCTCTGGCTTGTCTGTTTTTGCAAGTACTAGGCAGTGTCTTTGACTCACGTACAGAAAGCCCCTTGGCTCCTCCGCCAAAGCCAGGTCAGCAAGAGCTGCCTTGCCCGGCTGTGGCAGGTACAGGAGCACGGGCGCTGCAGTCACAGGCCTGCGTCCTGAGCTCTCTCCAGGCCCCTCTGACCCTCTGGCAAGTCAGACGGACTCAAAGTGGTTGACACCTCAATTTGGGAAAGAACCCCTTGAAGTCACAGGGGGAATCTGGGCACCCACCCGGTGTTATGGGGGAGGGGGAGGGTAGAAAGGTGAGGAAAGAAGGGAAGGTGGGTTTTTCGTAGCAGCAGGTGAGGGAGAGATGCGTTCAGTCGCCTCTGCCCGGCTGGACCCTGCAAACGGGCGGTATCAGAGGGCGACTCTTCCATACATACAGCGGATGTGCGTGTTCATTGCCACCCTGTGGCATGACCCTAGCCCTCTCCCAAAACAAAGGGACTTGAGCAGTCTGACTGCGGCTTCCGCACCTCGTCTGTGCCCCCCAGGCCCCACCCGAGATGTCTTATGGTAATACACCAGGGCCGTAAAGGACTTGAGAGAGAAGACGTGTCTGAGAGAAGGGCGAGTGGCCATCTTGGTGACAGCACCATCACTCATCCACTCAGGCTGAGGTGCTATGGGGAGGGCGAGAGACTCGGTCCCAAGTCTGTGCCCACACATGCAGGCCCTCTGTTCACGGCTCTGATAAATGCGTGGCTCGGGAAAGCTGTCTTGACATTTTGATTTGTTGAGGGGCGATTCATTTTCAAGGCAAGTAAACAACTTGTGAACTTGAGGGTTTACCACTTGGAGTGATTAAGAAGTAAGCAGCTATAAAGCTGGTTCTGTGGGGCTGTGGCTAATTGCCCCTGGGGATCTTCCTGACTGGTGTTTGCATCTGTCTCTACGTTTGTCATAGCTCATCTGAGCCCCCCCTACCACCACCACACAGAACAGCACACAGGGCCGCCTCCGGAGAGCTCCAGCTCGGAGCCCCGCCCTCCTCCTGGCAAGCAGGCCTTGGCCCTCAGGCAGGGGCAGGGGGTATCGTCCTCTGCAAGAGGACTTGACCCACCAGGCTTCTACTGGGCCTCACATCTGCCTGCCATTACATCCCCCACACCAGGAGGGCCTGCCTGGGGGTATAAATAGAGGCACGGCTTTTAAGGAGCTGATCCTTAGACAGAAATAACTTCATATAAACATTAGTACAAAATAGCTTCTCCATGGTGGCCAGGTGTGGAGTCCCACTAAGTCCTTAGGGGGGATAGAGCAGCAGGTCCCCTTGCACACACACCACCCCCAGCTGTGCCCTGTGCCCAGGGAAGTGCAGACTTGCTGGTAAGTAAACAGATCAGGAATAAAACCCAGGCTTTCCTGGTGCCAGAGCCCCTACTCCATCCTCTACCAGGCTCCATTGAGGGCCAGAGAGTAAAATATTTCAGGCTTCGTGGGCCATGTGGTTCCTATGGCAACTAGTTAGCACTGCTAATATAGCTCAAAAGCAGCCACAGATGATACATAAGCAAAGGACTGTGACTGTGCCAATAAAACTTTACCAGTCACCGGGCCGTAGTTTGCTGACCCCTGCTCAATACCCTGCCACCTTCCTGAGTTCTGAAAAAGACGAGGTCAGGGCCTAGAGAACCTTTTAAAAGAAGTGTCAGCAGGAGCTGGGCCATGTGAGATTCGGGCAGTGCAGGTGGTATGAATGAAGTTTGGGGCCGGCTGGGGTGAGTGCACTTGGGATGGAGAGGTTTGACATGACTGGCCAGGAGGATCGGGATCTCCACCCTCCTCTGGAAGGAGGACTTCCCCTTCCCTCCCTGACTTGCTGCTGCTTCTGAATCATGGAGAAAAGCAATGGGGTCCACAGAGCACCTGTGTGGTTGCCCTGTCTAGCTCCCCGGAGCCGAAGCAAGAACCACCAGGGCCTGCACTGGCGCCTGGGATCATTGATGAGGTGTTTGTTCCATGGGAGCTTTTGTGTATTTAGTGGTTAAAATCAGAAGCGACCGCCTTTAGAAAAGCAGGCTGTAGAAAGACAGACACCACAGTCTGCTGAAAGCACATGTCCGTGGAAGAGGGGCTCCTGGGCGGGCTCGTGCAGAAGCCCTCCTTCCATCATAAACAACATACTGCTCACCCTGGCTGGTTTGGCTCAGTGGTTAGAGTGTCAGCCTGTGGACCGATGAGTCGCAGATTCAGTTCTGGTCAAGGGCATGTGCCTTGGTTGTGGTTTGTCTTGGTTTTGGCGGGGCCGTGCGGGAGGCAACCAGTTGACGTGACCCTCTCTTGTCAATATTTGTCTTTCTCTCTCTCTCTCCCCACCCCCCTACTCTGTCTGATTATAAACAGAAAAATATCCTCAGGTGAGGATTTAAAAAGAAAACACACTGCTCAAGGGCATGTACCTGGGTTGCAGGTTCGATCCCCAGCCCCCGTTTGGGCACACGCAGGAGGCAGCCAGTCGATGTGTCTCTCTCACATTGATCTCTCCCCGCCATCACCTCTCTCTCCCCCTCCCTCTCTCCCACTTTCTCTCAAAATCAGTGGAAAAAATATCCTCAGGTAAGGATTCACAAACGGAAAAATGAAAAGCACACACTGCTGTTACCACATGCCAGGAGTTTGATGAAGGTTCTCTCATTGCACCCCGACTGCACACAGCTGGCAGTTGGAAAATGACACTGGGCACGTCTTCTGCTGCTTTTGCATGATGAAGCAGGATGTGCCCAACACTGAGTGTCTCCAAAACATGGGCCTCATTCACTCCCCTGTGCTAAGAAGGCCACAGGCCCCAGAAATGTGTCATCCCATCTCCAAACCCAGAGTTGCTCTGAGGGCCATGGGAAACTGTACAATACACCACATCACAAAGGGGTCTGTTCTGAGAAATGTGTCGCTAGGCTATTTTGTCACTGGACAGGCATCAGAGAGTGCACTTCCGAGCTAGGCCATGCAAGCTGCTGCACACCTGGGATGTATGGTGTCGCCGCTAGCTCCCCGCCACAGGCCTGGGCAGCGTGTCACTGTGCGCAACAACACGAGATTAAATGGAGCACGAGAGAAGATGGCGCAGTCGAGACGCAAGGCCAACACAGCTACTGCAGACTTTCTTATAAGTGGAAAGAATCCACTCTAAAATAACGATAAGAAGTAGAGTCAGTAACATAGACCAGTAACAGTTGTTTATTATCAATATCGAGGATCGTGTACATGCCTCATCCATACAACTGGGAGCACAGTAGGTTTGTTACACCAGCATCTCCACAGACTCGTTGAGTGATGAATGCGTTGCACTATGCCGGCTACGATGTCGCTAAGTGACAGGAATTTCTCAGCTCCTTGTGTTCATGGGACCACCATCGTTGACCGAAACATCCTTTTGCAGCATGTGACTGTAATTGGTAATTTTTCACCAGACCTTTTGTATCTCCCACGCCAGCGCCAGACTGGCCAGGGCAAAGCAGATTCTCTGGCAGGGGCATCTTGGGGCCTCCCCCTTCCCACCCAGTGGCTTCAGAGCTTAGCTCTGGTGCCCTGCCTTTGGCAGAACTGGGCCCATCAGTAAAGGTCCACATCCCTGTGTGAACTTCTCCAGGATGCCCTGGAGCTCCCGGCCGTGTGCCCTTCAAGGGCACAGCGGCATGTTGCTGCGCCAGCATCGGGCTCAGACACACAGCTCACAGCCCTGCCCTAGGTGCGATGCTGGGGCTGGCTGCCCCGTTTCTTCACACAGCTTCGAAGTGTGTCCAGGTCAGTCCCGTGACCAGTGACCTTCAAGGAGCTGGGTTTGGGTTGGTTAGTATGGCCCATACACTGGCTTGCCCTGCAGGGGCCCACACACACCTCCTGCCAAGCGGGCTGGTTCCTCCCGCTTAGTCATGGCACCCACCACCTTGTCTTACAGGCTTTGCTGTGGCCCAGTGCATAAACCAGCACAGCTCCCCATCCTTGCCCTCGCCACCGCCATCTGCCAGCGGGAGCCCCAGCGGCAGCGGGAGCACCAGCCACTGCGACTCGGGAGGTGCCAGCTCATCGTCCACCTCCTCTGTCGCCCAGAGCCCATCAGGTATTGGCCGAGTGACACAGTGTGGGGGGTCTTTGGGAAACCTGTGATTACGTGACACCAGGACCACTGATACTCAGCTTCTCCTCACCACCTCGTTTGGGAACACTGCCACTCAAGGGTTCCGTGCTCACTCACAGGACGCTGCCCGCGGGCTGGCTGGTTCAGCTCCCTGCAGCGTAGGACTTACTCCTTTTGCAGTCTGGTCCACTGAAAGGCCTTCCCAACCACAGAGCTGGAGGGATGGTCGATAGGCAGGCTGAGCCTAAATCTACCTTCATCACCTCAAAGTCTTAGATCTCAGGAGGAGTCTCCCGAACGTGATTATTTGAACCCTGGCAAAAGAATCGTGCCCCTGCTCATTCTTTTCCGCCATACATACCAGTTTCCTCTTTAAATGTTTGGTGCAGTCCGGTCATCTGTGACCACGGGTACCCCTTGCCCTCCTATAACTTACACAGACGTCACAGACGGACCCTGTGAGCAGGGAGCCCAGAATGGGACGTGTGAGTGGGTGTCCACCCAGCCTCTTTCTCGGCTGTCGTGAGCCCCTCATGTGAGCGCCCGCTGTGCTGCGTACAAACCCAGGAGTAGAGACATCAGTCTTACTTCGGGAACAACATGGCCCCAGAATGTAGCCAGAGAACAGAGCTGGAGCTGGAACGGCAGCAATGGCCTTGAGAGTGTGTGCGCTTCACACACCATGTCAGGACCCCCATGGTCTGCTGGGCCCTGGGGATGCTGGTATGCACTCCCATTTGGGGTCCCTCAGTGTCCTTCGCTATTCCTGCAAGGTCCTATCTGGAGCCCTCACCATCACATTTCAGGGGCACCCGACCAGACTTTTGTTAAGCTGTGAGTCAGTGGATCATGACAAAGGCCATGTGCAGGGCACGAGCTACCTCGGCGCTGGGGAAATGGAGGGTCCCTGGCCACTTCCCTTCGCTCCAGAGGCAGAGAGCTCTGTGGGCAACCACACCTCTCTGGAGTATTTAGCTTCTGCAGGCCCTAGCAAAGGGTTAAGCCAGCGTGGGCGCCGCGCCTGTGGCTCAGGGCACCTCAGCCTGCCTGCACCCTTGCCCTCCTCCCATGAGCATCCATTACCTCCGTCTCTTATTAACATTCACGAGGCCCCGGCAGCAAGGTCACCCTCAAGCCACCTCACTCAGACTCTGTTCCGCTCAGCACCTGCTCCTCTCAGCCCCAGCTGGGGAGATGACTGGCCTTTCTGAACTATTTCTGAGCCCTGTTCAACGCTGGCTGCAAATCCAAGCAGTTGCCGCTGCTGTTCCCAGGCTTGTAGCTGGGAAATTAAGACAGAGCTTCCTCCAGAAGCCAAGAGCATCCCTCAGCCCCTCTGAAGCCTGGTCTCATGCTGGCTCTGGGAGCCGGAGTGCAGGGCTGTGCGTCTGTGTGCTTGTGTGTGCACCCACGTGCTGCCTGCATGTGTCCATGTCTGTCGTGTTGTGTGCACCCAAACACATGCACACTTAAAGTCACATTAGGGATGAAAGGTGTCATCGTGGTATAGCTAGGTACACCTCTCTTTCACTTTCAAGGAGGCACAGCCATCCGTTAGGTGAGCAAATGAGCCACACACTTTTCACCTGGAACCAGCAGAGAGCACATTATCAAGGTCGGGCCCCTGAACGTGTCCCCCTGGGCTAGACTCTGCACCTTCCCCCAGAGGCTCGGGGTCCACAGTGCACTAATTCATTGTTCTTGGCCTCCCTCCTTCATTTCTACCCCACCACCCCCTGCACAGTGCCAACAACATGTCTTTTAGTCTCGGAAATGCAAGGGCTGTTAGCCTGGCTGTCGGGTGGCCAGGCAGTTCCAGTCGGTAACGGAGGCCAGGCCCTCCTGGGTGTCTGCTCCTGCTCGGTGCATCCCCAGCAGCCTGCAAGCCACATGCGAGTCCCCGTTGTCTATGCTGCCGGACAGTACAAGCTGGAGGCCCAGCCTGCCTGTCCAGTCTCTGCGGACTCCGAGATAGCTCACCTCCTGGGAAGGGCCAGTCCATTGGGCAGCCTATGCTTCACTCTTGACCAAGGACCCACCTGTTGATTCCTGGAAAGAGAGAGCGTCGGAGCACATGAGCAGTTAACTGTCTATCACAGCTGCTGGGCCACAGGAGCCAACTCTGTCCCCGGGCCCACAGGCTCGGGCCGCAGGTCTCAGGAGGACCGCCATTCACTTACCTCTCAATGCCAGGCTTCCAGGCCAGCCCTCAAGCTCCCAGGCCCACCAGAGCACAGCACACGGGGTGTCCACGTTTCCTGTAGGGTTACGTCTATTCAGATGGTTCCCTCAGCTGCCTGGTGTCTTACCGAGTGGTGCCAAGGATGGAAGACGGGAGGAAGGTTTTAATGGGACGGGGGCTTTTTGGCCAGTTTCCTGGCTTGAAGTCAGCCTGGAGTGGCGGCCAGTGTTCAGGCTTCTGAATTAGAAAGACTGGCCCTGTGCTGCCCGTTCAGCAGGCTCCCCACCCGCAGGGCCAGGCCTCGGCCTACCAGAGGCGGCATCCTCAGAGGGCCAGCCAGGCAGGGGTGGGACAGGGCCTCTCCCCGCAGCCCAGCCAAGGGGCCACTTGTCCTCAGAGTGGTTTTTGAGGGCACAGTGCTAAATCAGAAGCATTCTTAGTCCTGTGTTTCCAGAGCCTCCGAGGCCAGGAAGTTCCCAGTGTGGGGAGCAGCTGCCAGGTCCTCTGCAGCCAGAATTAGCAAGTCTGGTGGCTTCTTTGCTCTTGAAGCCATGCTTTGCTCAGTCGGGTGTTTGGTTGGGAAAGCGCACGAGAGATGCCAACCACCAGGGGACGAGACAGGCCAGTTTTCCATGTGTCTGCTCTGTGGTTTTGAAACCTGGGATTGTACCGGAGACCCGCACAGCCAGGGGTGGCCCTCCCACCACGCGAGCAGTCCCTGTGGCCCGGCACCTACTGCACGCCTTCTCTGCGCACCGCTGCAGCACATCCCCACACTGGGCCCTGTGGCAGGCACTTGCGCACAAGTACTTCACAGACACCTCCGCACTGAACCCCCTCACGCTGTTCAGCTCAAAACACGGGCTCAGAGGTCGTGGGGCTTGGCCAGGATGCTGCTGCTGGTGAGCGGAGAGGCCCAATGTGAGCCTGCAAACCCATGCCCTGCCTTCTGCAACAACCCAGCAGAGTATCAGTGGGGTTGGTCTCGGGTACCGCCAAGGAGTGTTGCAGAGACTTGGGCCCCAGGTTCAGGTTCCGGTTGGGGACAGCTCACAGGGTGCACACATCTTTCCTTCCAATGTGCATGGTAGCTCTAGAGCACAAATGAAAAGCCACAGCCCATCCACAGAGACCCAGGAAAGCCTGGTAGTCCCCCAAAATCAGCAGCAAACTGGACCCCAAACAGCCACATCTCTGGACCCCCAAATGAGGGCATGAAATCATTTTGATACCTGGTTGTGTTTCTGCCTCTACCCTCTGTCCAGCCCAGGAGACCTTGAATTTTCTGCCTGGGTTTGAAAGAGAACAGGTTTATCCCAAATGTGGATTTTCTCAGCTCCCCATGGGGCCTGCAGTATGAGCTACTCAAGTTCTGTGGCTGTCAGACCTGGTCTCAGTGGGTCCCTCCACAGGCCCAGCCCACACCCAGCCCCTCAGCCTCTTAGTGGCTCATCACTCTGCATCTTTTCTGCCTCTGCCTTGGTACCCTGCCTCCACTGTGTTCACTTTTTCTGAACAATCAGATGTTGTTGAGTCCGTACTACATGCAGGCGCTGGGGAGACAGGGTAACACATGGAGAGCATAGGCTAGCAGGGAGCCCACAGTCCAAAGACGACACACAGATAAGCATCCAGTTACAGACCAACAAAGGAAGCGTGCAGGGGCCCCCACAGCGGCAGGAGGGCCGAAGGCTTCCGAGGGGCATCACTGCAGCTGAAAGCTGAAGGAAGGGCTTAACCAGGCCAGGGCTTCATGAGAAGGTGGCCTTTGGGTCTCACACAAAAGGCCTAGAATCTGGCAGAAGACAGCTGGTTCCTTTTCCCCATCTCCCTGGGGTCTACCTGTAAATTCTGTCCTCAACATAGACTGGGGCAGCTGATTTTTGACAGATAGTCCCCACACCCACCAGGGCTGGAGCCTGTGGCCCAGCACTGGTGGAGGGCCCCTCACACAAGGGAAAGGGACCCCACCCAGAGGGGTCACCAGTTTGCCGGTTGCCCAGAAATACCCTCTGTGCTGGGAGCACCTGCTTCTGATTCACCTTTGCACGTCGGAGACAGATTGTGGGTGCTTGTGAGGGGCTTTTTAGAAGTACGGACCCTCAAATCAGGGCCAAGAGACACCCCAGTCTGAAGGATCATCAAAACCTAATTCCCTGGTAACCAAAGTAACCAACAAGAAAGACTTGGAGCAAGGGATTTTATTTTCATCTTCAATTATTTACGTGTTAAAGGTATGCAGAGGGGACTTGTCTGGTTTTAACACCTAGTACATGAGTTGATCTGTTCCCATTGTCTTTTATTTTTGTTGTTGTTAATCCTCAACCGAGGATATTTTTTCCATTGAATTTTAGGGAGAGAGGCAGGGAAGGAGCGGGGGTGGAGAGAAAGAGGGTGACAGAGAGAAACATCGATATGAGAGAGACACATCGATTGGTTGTCTCCCACATGTGCCCAGCCAGAGCCAGGAATCGAACCTGTGACCCTTCAGTGCTCAGGCCGATGCTCTATCCATGAACCTCACAGACCAGGGCTTCGCACTGTCTGTTAAAGTGCTTTGAGATCTTCAAGTCCTGGGGAGAGCTGGGGCCCTGCACTGGGAAGCACTCAGGAGCCCGGCCTCTTGTCGCCCGCTCCTCCAGCAGAGCTGCCCTGATAGGCCTCAGCTTGTTCCCCAGTGAGGAAATTACAGGGTTGGCATCAGCATATTTTTTCCTTAAACATTTTATGGTTTTGAGAAGCTGAAATTGCAGAGGACATACAGTGGGAAAGAGAAAATAGACCCAGTTTTGGAACCAAATGCAGGACCAGTAGGGATTCTTTAGAAATATTTTCTGAGTTACGCCTGTGCACATGCATGATGATAGATACACACACGCACATACACACGTGCACTCACATGCTTCCACACAGGCACATGCGCTCCGCACAGGGACCTGGTAAGAGAACCGTCCCCTCAGGACAGCTGTGGGACCTGCTCTGAGTCCTGGACCAGCCAGCACTGTGCCCGTCTGGTTGAGCTACTTTGAGGAGGGAGGAAAATCCTTTGTTAGAAAAGTGAAGTCAGAGTAAGGCCAGCCTACCCCTCCTGATGTCCATTCCTGAGGCCCACAGAACTGGGAGCTGTAGCCATTATGACTCTTCCCAGGTTCTGAAACAACAAGGAAGATTTGGCTCCTGTCTAGAGCCTGCCGGGGGAAGGACTGCTCTACAGGGCTCCCTCCCCTCCTCACCTGCCCCCTGAGCTGATTTCTGAACATGCGATCCTCACCCCAGGACAAGGGCCCCTCGGGGCCAACTTAGAGCCACAGGGCCGAGACTGGCCTGTGTGTCACTGAACTCGGTTACCGCATCTGGGCAGGACTTTTAAGGACAGAAACCCAAGTCAAAGGTGTCTTTTCTCTCCAGTTTTCTCTGTGGCATTTACAAAAAGTTGGAGTAAAGTATACAGAACATAAAATGTACCATTTTAACATTTTTAATCTTATAGTTTACTGGCATTCGGTACCTTTACCTTGTGTTCTGTGGCCTTAATTTTAAGGTTTTCGGTAATTCCGAATTTGTCTCGGAGCTGACGAATGCTTCCTTCCTTCCCAATGAGATGCTCCTAACATTTTTGTTTCAGCTGGTTAGAACCCACCCCAGCCGCTTGGCACCAGGTCTCAGATCTTCCTGCCCTGGTGCAGTCTTGGTTTTCAGAGGTTCAGATCACCAGAGCGTCGCCTGGAGAGTGTCGCCTCGTGGCTGGGGAGGAAGTCTCGGAGCGCCCTGCCCACCCGACACTTCCCCAGAACTCGCAGAGCTGTGCTATTGGCTGTAGGTGCCGACACCGAGGGCCACTGGCCTCAGCCGCGGGGTCGGAAATCTGCTCGTTTCACCAGCTGGTTTGGCTCCGGTCCCCTGACCACACAGCCTTCCCTCCTTAGCGTCTCCTGGGGATGCAGGGTTCACATCTTCACTGCTGGTTCGCATTGAGACTGACGGGCAGTTCTGTTCTGGCCCCTGAGGTTTCTCACCGAGACCAGATGTCGCTGATAACCCCGCTCTCTCCATTCCAGCAGGACCGAACCATTGCTGTCGTTACCCCGACTGAGTCCCGACACCACCTCGTCCTAGCGGACAGCGTGGAGGGTGTCTTACCTGCATGGGGGCTGCACCCCACGCCCCGGCTGTCACAGCACCCACTGGGGCACTGCCCGCACCCTTCACGTTCTCATCAATGCTTAGCGTTCGTCTCTGCTCTGTGCCCCTCTCCATGTCACCTTTCTGTCCTGTTGTTAAAGGCTGTCTATGATCTGTTGCTGTGTTTCCCTCTAGTCAGGAGTGGCAGGAAAGGACGCCGGCGAGTGTTCAGCCTGTCGGAGGCCGACAGTCACGGCGGCCACTGGGTTTAGTGCTTCGAACGGCAGCTGTCACGGCAACTCTGGCACAGTCCATTCAGGCAGGTCTCCTCCATTAGCCTCCCGGGCCCACAATGCCCCTCGCCACGCTGCGTTTCCCGTCAGCAGGCTCTGCTCGGCAAGCGGGGCCAGGCTGGGCCTCCCAGGACACGGGTCGTGACCCAAGAGCCGTCCTCAGCCTCCCCTGAGACTGGATCTCCCCTTCCCTTGGTGGCCTCATCTCCTCTGAGGATCCGATCCCCTGGCTCTTGCCCCTTCCAGGCCAGGCCCGGCAGCCCGGACACACTGTCATTGTCTGAGGTACTGAGCAGGCCCCGGCAGGCTCAGCACGAGCCCTCACAGGACACCCCCAGTTTAGGCCACAGGGGTGGGTAGTATTATTTGCAAAAAGCAACCAAGTAGTCAGCTTTTTTGTTTGTTTGTTTTTTGCTTTACATTTTATCCTTATCTTGCTTAAAGCTAAGTGATAAATTCAGTCACATCCAGCCAAAGGGCAAAAGTTACAGACACACCAGTGGATGTAACTCCATCATGCCCTTCCGTTTAGTGCTCCGAAGAGCGGCGAGGTTGGCTGGGGGCCGCAGCGCTCCCTGTGGGCCGCATGCTGCCTTCTCCCGCGGTGCTGCTGCAGGGCTTCCCACGTGTGCCCTCCCCCTTGCCCTTGCCCTCGCCCTCGCCCTTGCCCGCAGGCGCCTCCTGCCTTCTTTTGTGTTTCAAAGCTGCTTCCTCCGAGCTTTGCCCTCTGACTGCTGTGCTCTGCTGTTATCTTCTTCCCCACATCCCAGGCCCTCCTATTCCAGACCAAACACGTCCAGCCCAGATCTATACTGGACACTGTAACTCACTCAACAAGGGTCAGCCAAGCCCCTGCCCCAAAGCCAACGACCAGCTTCTGAGGGTGCCAGCCAGGGACGTGATGGTCAGCTAGGGGCAGAGCCACAGGGAGCCCGAGCATCACTCATGGAAGCCTGGACATCGGGATTTCTCACTCCAGCCTCCAGTCGTCTCCCCTGCCCCTGGCCAGGAAGCCAGAATGTTCTCCAGATCCCTCATTTCCTGGGCCAGGCCCCAGCTTGCGGCCTTAGACCTCAAAAACACCAGCTGCAGTAACCTTCGCAGCTCAGCGCTTGACTGGAAAGTGTGTCCTCGCTGGGTTATTTCCCCCGGTGCAAACCTGGCCGAGTCTCCTCCCCCTGGATGAATGTGAAGATCACAGTCAGGAAGCAGTTCTTAGTTTAAAATAGAATGATTGAGTAAAAATAAATAAATAAATAAAAGGAAGCCTGTGGTGGGTGATGGGCAAGAGGTTCTTTTTCTTATTAAAAAAAAATAGAGGTTATTTTTATGGGGAAAACCTCATCCCTTTTAATAAAATTGTTGGTTCTTTTCCTAAAAAAGAAACCAGTTTTATGTACATGGTATTATTTGTTGGTTGGTTGGTTTTTTTTTAATATATCTGATGGCAACTTTCCCACACCCTTGATTATTCTCGTTACCAAAAACCCCATCAGGGATCAGGACAGGTTTGCCAGCTCTTTTGAATACCTGCATGTAAGCGCAGAGCAGCAGAGAGGCTGCTGGCACGCAGGGCTTCTGAGAGACGTGAAGGAAACGCTTTGCTGCTCTGGCTCCAGATGGCACTGGAGGGCCAGTTGTTTCTGCGTGGCCCTGGCAGCAGCTCGGCTGCGTGTGTGCCACACGCACAGCGTCCACAGGAACGCGCTCGCTCACAGGTGGCAGAGGCTGCGGGAGCAGGGGAGCCCCAGCCCCGCTCCGAGCCTTGCGTCCTGCTGAACATTGGGCCGGCTGTGCTGGCTCAGAACCTGAGCCTGGGTGTCGAAACCAGCCCATCACCACAGCCGTTCTTGCCGAGCGGAGCAAAGTTGTAGAAATTCAGAGGAACGCGAATGCGTGTGGCATGTTCACCGTCTGGGCTCAGATCACACTCTGCTCGAATCACTTTTTCCACCAGTGCCCACGGTGCCCTGCTGCACCCTCCAGGAGTGAGGACAGGCCCCAAGTCCCACGCTGTGGTTTCTCTGACCTTATTTCACTTTTAGAAAGGCCTTCTAAAGAAATTAACTGGGACCTGTGTGCTCATCTCGCCTGAGGTCTGGTGGGAAGAAGCCCAGCGTGTGCTTGGGGCACTCCGTCTGCTGCTTGCACTTTCTCTCCACAGCGGGGATCCTCGTCCTCTCTTCTTTCTCCCATTCTCGGTGCCCTTTGCTTTGATTTTGTTCTCGGTTTTTCCATTCTTTTGCTCTGTGTTCAGTTGGCAATCCTATTTTGTTTTGGCTTAACTTGTAAGAAACAAAACAACTAACTGGAATCACATTGGACAAAAGAATGTCTACCACCATTCCCAGAACCCAGAGTGCTTCAGACCCGCCCCGTGCCGCCGGCACCTCCCGCCGATGTTCCTCAGCCCCACCGTCTGAACAAATAAGAATTTGTTTTCCAAGCAAGATGCCCATCGCCTTATCAGTGTTTCCGAATCAGGGGCATGTGACATCCTAGAAGAGGTTTTCCACAAAGCCCTCCAGTCACAACTGGCGTTTCTGTCCAGGCAGACTTGTCATTGGAAAGCAAATGAGGCCACTTGTCTGTAATCTAATCAAGGATTTTGAAAAGCACCCAGAAAAGAAATTGCCACTCCGAGAATAACTGACAGGAGGAGGCTGCCCTGCCTGCCTTCCTCCTGACTTGGTTTCTCCCTGTGGGGACAAGAGTGGCCCCGGAAAATTATGGTCCCTTCCTGAGTGCTACCTCAGCCCCTCGAGAAGGAACAAGAGACAGACCGGTCCAAGCTTTGGGTTTGGTTTTGCAAGTAAATTTCTATAGAATTCCCTTTTCTTTCCTTTTTTTTTTTTTTTAAACTATCGCAGTGAGTTCCCCCTTGGGAAATGTCACCAAGTGTGAGTCTGGAAGTGACAGGAAGTGATGAGCACCTCGAAGCCCATTTCCTCCCTAAACACGTATTTGCCGTCAGGCAAGTGGGTCAGGACTTGGGCGTACACACAGTCCCCCCGGGCCGTTTCCTGGGGCCCGGGGACTGGCTTCCATCATCCGCCCTTTGGATTTTGCACAAGCCCCTTGTTTTCCCTTGCATCACAAGTGGGGGTGACCCTGGGCCCTGACCCATCTTCCCCCAGGCCTAGGGCAGCCTGGGTTCACCAGCTGTAAGCCCAGGAGGAGGAGATGGAGCAAGCTCCTCCCCCAACACTCCTCCCACCCAGGTGTCCTTGGTTCAGAGGGGAGCAGAGGGTGCCTGTGGGAGCAGAAGGTCTCGGAGCTGAGCGTCCCTTTGTTTCCCCACCCAGATGACCCCCTGACTGTGGAACAGCCTCAGCCTGACCTTCCCGACCAGTTGGTGATCGTCAACGAAGCGGAAGCAGACGCCAGGCCCAGCAAGAGCCTGGCAAAGAGCGTGGACATGGAGACGGTCAGCCTGTCCCCCAGCCTCACCCCAGCCCAGCAGCCCACCATCTCCCTGCTCTGTGAGGACACTGCCGACACACTGAGCGTGGAGTCACTGACCCTCATCCCACCTGTGGACCCCCACAGCCTCCGGACCCTTGCAGGCATCCCCCCGCCACCCACAGCAGCCATAGAGGGCACAGTGACCCCAGGTGGGCGGGCAGCAGGGCCCGCTGAGCACTGAGTCCATGCTGAGCAGCCGCCCTTCGCGCGTGTGGCCCCTCTGGTAGGGACCCAGTGCCACTGCGAAGACACAGTGGGAGCATCTGCGATGACCATCTTCACCACCCGCCCGTGCCCCTCCAGTCCACTCGAGTTCCTTTCACTTTGCACTTCTCTGAAAGCAGCTGGGCCGGTGGAGACCTTCCAGCCATCCCAGAGGCCTGAGGCGGTGCCGCAGGACGGAGGTTGGGGTCCTGGTGTCCGAGCCCCGAAGCCCCGGCCGGCAGCACCCACCAGCACCACCCCTCCATCAGCCAGCCCTCCCCGGGCTCACAGCTCCTCTCTACGGTCCCCAGTGTGCGCAGACGTGGACAAGGTCACTGTAGGTAGAAATTTATAGGAAAGCGAACTTCGATAAACATCTTGGGGTATTTATTTCCACTTTTGGCAGCAGGTGAAGAGCATTTATTTTAAAAGCATCTGTTTTGCTTAGAAGTCCAAAAAGTCCTCAGTGCTGAGGTTTGGTGTCATGTACAAAGTGTGAGATGACTGTTAAGATTCCATTTTCATTTTCCCCAGAACTTCCCAAGTTTTGGTTTAGATTTCTCTGTCTGGCAGACTCCGTTTTCTTAAGCGATTCTTTATTACTCACTAACTCTGCAAGCATGTGGGATGATAAGTAGCTTCCTGGGAAGTTTAGAGTATTTTTTAAACACAGTAAGGGAGATACGCGTACACTCAGGTACAGAGCGCAGAGGGCCGGGAGCTTCTCTGCCACCGCAGCCCAGGGGCCTGGCGCAGCCTGGAGACCTTTTCAGGGCAAGCACGGCGCCGGCTCGGGACCAGCCTCTTCTCCACTGAAAGCGCACAGGACGCTTCTCCAGCATCCCCTTCAGTTGTTCGTGTAAGACCCCGGGCCTGTGCTGACCCGGCCCCAGGGGTTCTGGTGCAGCGCCAGGCCATGGCAGCCGTCCGCCACCTGCCCCTGGACTGTACGCCGCCTTTCCCTGCTGCCGCCACAGACAGCTTGTTTGTGAAACGAACCGCCTCCCTGCTCCCTCTGGGCTGGGTGTGGAAGCCAGTTCTCCAGCACGTACCCAGTGAAGCACCCAAAGTGCCCCTTTCACAGGGCACAGCCCACTGAGCCTCCCTTTCCCCGGTCCCTGCTGAGACCTTCCAGCAGGGGTGTCAGCGCGGCCCAGCCCAGTACTGGGTGGCCTCGGGAGACACCCCGACTGCTCATCGCCCACCTAGGAGAGGACTCAGCCCTCACCACCTCCTCCGTCCGGCTGTCACCTCGGCCTGCAGAGGAGGGCAGTGGCACCTGCAGGTGCCCTCCGGGTTGCTGTGCCCACCGATCTTCAACAAAGGAAGACCCACTGAGGCTGAATTTAGGGGCCCTAGCAAGAGGGACGATCCACGACCTCAGCAGAACCAGGGGGGTGGAAGAAGAGGACAGTCGGTGGAGAGAGGGTGCCATCGGACGGTGGTGCCCGCTTCAGCAGCCAGCTGTGTGCCCTGCTTGATCTCCTGCTTGGGTATAGAAACAGGGCCGTGCACATCTGGTTTCCAAATGACTCGGGCAGCAGAAATAAGAGGGCAAATGACTCCCCAGGCCAGTGGCATCATTGTGAGGAACAAGCCCATGCGCATGGACCTGGGACCACCCGCCTGCTGTCTGATGAAATCCAGTGTTCAGGTGGCTTCAGGCCTCCCTCTGGGCTGGGTGTGGAGCACTGGTGCAGAAGGTCTTGGGCAGGAGGGACAGTAGGCCCCAGGGACAGCATTGCCCAAGCGTGGACAGTTGAACGCAGCCCCGCCTCCATGGATTGTAATGAAAGGTGCCGTTGGGCCCATAGCCAGCCAGTAGCTCACCTGGGCAGAACACGTTGAGGTGTGTGTGTGGGGACGGCTTCAACCAGACACCTTGATGCTGAGAAGGAGGACACGTGTCCTTGTGCTGGGAGGGCTGGGGTCCAGAGGAGGCAGGCGGAGTCATGGCTCTGATGAAGGTCCCGTCTCACCGGGTCTCGGCTCCTGGACAGCAGTGGACTCGGCTGTTTCCAGGAGAACCTGGCACGCCCAGCAGCGGGGGCATTTCCAGGCTGGCCAGTCCATGCATAGCATCCTGGGTCTCTGGAGTTGGGCAGAGAGAAGTAGAGCAAGGAATTCTTGGGGAGCCCAGAGTGGGGGTTGGGGGTTTTCCTCTGACCCATGGGGCCTTAGACTCAGATCCCTGGGGTCAGCCTCAGCCAGCTCCCCAGCTCCACGTTCCTGCAGAAGGAAGGGCTGGGGTTGGCCTTACCTTACCCAGGTCCACACAGCCCCTCGGGTTCGCCAGTCAGGGACAGGGTTGACCACAGGAGCCCCCAAACCTCAGCTTGGAAGGTTGCTATGGAGAAGCACATATCCTTTCTGGTTTGAGTGAGTGAGGGCACCGCTCCCCAAGGAGGAACAGGGGACCAGCCCCAAAGCCACGGTGGTGGTGGGCAGGAGGGTCGCGCCTGCCCTGCTCTGTGCCCCGCAGAAGACAGCTTCCCACCCAGACACCGGCTTCCACAGACAGCGGGCGAGTGAGGAGCAGCGCTGCACAGACGGGCACAGATTTCCTCGAGGTCTCGAGATGCACCGTTAAAGGCACAGCGCAAACTGATTCTCCTTTTCTAGATGCAATAAATAAGGAATATTTCATGTAGTCATGTTGACTGGGCATAAACTGTAAGGGTTCCTAATGTTCCTCTGAGCTGAAAATAGGTAAATAATTTTGTCCCAAGGAGGAGCAGGGTTAGGAAACCTCATGCTTCTGGGTTGAGGGACCGTTCCAGGGAAGTACCTGCTTACCAGTGACTCATGCTTCATGGGTACTGCACACTGGGCTGGAAATGGAAACGGACTTCCTTGTAAATTGTTACTTGGCAATAAAAGAGAAAGCTACCAGAATGCGGCTGCTGCTTCGTGGTGCTGGGCAGGCAAAGGGAGAGGTTCTCTGCTGTCTGACCCCTCAGCCTGTCCCAGCTGCTCAGTGGGGTGGGCAGCTCCTCCCTGCCCCCCTCTGGCCAGGTGTTCCCCAGTTTCTAAAAGGGAGGTGGGGCCTTTCCTGCCTGGAGCTGGGGAAACTCAGATGCAGGGGGTTCCATCCAGAAAGTGCCCCTCCCGCCCCCACCAGGCACAGTGAGCTTGATCCATGCTGTCTTTGTCCCTCACCTATGGGTCAGGTGGTCCATCAGAGCCCCAGGTGCTGCATCTGTGGGAAAGGGCCATTTCCAGCCCTGTCTCTCAGGACAGGTGCAGGGATCCTCTGTCCTCTGCCTTGTGGCTTCGATTTGGGGCTGAGTGCTGGGCTGGCTGGGTGCTGGGCCGGGGGAAGCGGGAAGGACCCAGGTATCAGGGGTTCGTGCTGGGGCGGGCTCCTCCCAGAACACATCAACATGTACCAGCATGAGCTCTGGGAATCCCTGGAAATGGTTTTAGGGCAACTCCTGATGCTCCAGCTTAAACCTTGCCCAGAAACAGCCAGACCTCCTGGGCCTTGAGGTAAAACCCAAATTGAATCCAAAGTGAATGGGGCACCACCCGCCTTCCCCACCTCATGCCACAGGCTGAAGCGATGCCACGGGAAGGTGGAGGCTGCTCAGAGAGCGGCTGCCCTGGGTTGTCAGTCTCCCACTTGCCCCCAGCAGGGCTCCCTTCCCCTCCTAGCTCAGGGCCCCAAAGGCACTGGACTCCCCGGGCCGAGGTTGGATTGTGTGCTGCACGGTGGCCTGCTCGGTACCCAGCGCTGTGCCTCGTGGGCACAGGAGCACTCGTGCGCCCGGTGGACCTTCCTGGTAGGATAAGCGCCGTGGGAAGGGGGAGGCAGGCCTCGGGAGGCAGAACCAGGGCGAGGAGCTGCGAGGAGACAGGCGCCAGGGGGCGGGGCTGCGGGCCCAGGGTGCCTGGGCTGTGTGCAGGGAGCAGGAGAGGAGGCGTGGATTGGAGTCAGAATCGTTTGGAACACTTGTTCGCAATCCAGAACCACGAGCGGCCCCAGTCCTGCTCAGTGAGACCCGAGTTGGTGCCTGGCCGAAGCCCCTGCGCCCAGTGAACGCCGGCCTGTCCTCTTCTGCCTCCCAGCTCTTAGGAAATGCCGGCTTGTCCTCCGGAGGCAGCCCCGAGCCTGCGTGTCCTCCCTCCGGCTGGAAGTGGCCCGTGGTTCCCCAGCGGCCCATCCAGTGGCCAGCAGGAGTCTGGGGACTCCGCCCTGGTGGAGGTGCCAGCAAGCCTGTCCGTGCGTCCACTGATGGCACCTGGAAGGTTGAGGGGCAGGTGAGGGTGGGCAGCAGCCCTGGGCTGGGAGAGATCGCTTTCCAACAGGCCACCCGCGGGAAGTCCCCTGCCCCTCAGTGCCGGCTCCTCCAGGCACTCAGGGCGGTGGGAAAAAACCAGCCCTGTCTGAAGAGCTGTTCTCCAAAGGAAGGCGGGTCTGAATCACCAAACCGGGAACACACGGGCTTTCCTGCACATGTGCTCAAGTGCTGGGTGGGCAGTGTGGGCCTCCCTGCTTGCGTGACCTTTGCACCGGCACCTCGAACTTCCTCCATTCTCCTCCTGGGCCACACGCCACCCAGCTCAGCTGGATTTCCCTCCAACAGCAGTATGTGTCCATCTAAACACACACCCGGGACCCCTAGACGGTCATTTCCTCGACTCTTGACCTACCTTATAAATGCAAAGAACACTTGACTCTTGAACAACAGGCGGGTTTGGGTCTACCGATCCCCAGTGCAGTCAAAAATCTGAGTATAACTTTTGACTCCCTGGAAACTTGACTAATAGCCTGCTGTTGACTGGAAGCCTTACTGATAAAGTAAACAGTTGGCTAACACATATATTGTATGTTATGTGTATAATAATATACTGTATTCTTCCGCTACAGTGCACTAGAGAAGAGAAAATGTTACTGTGAAAGTCACAAGGAAAACGCGGGATAGGGCAAAAGTAGGTTTACAGTTGTAAGTACGTGAAACGGTTTATTCTTGTATT